TTTTTAGGCTTTCTTTATTTTTCATCTTTGGTTTGTATATAATTTTAACATTTCGTTACATTTTGCGTACTTTTATTTTACTTTGGGTCTGTATAAAAAGTTGTGTTACATTGTACATATTCATCACATCTATTGTATATTCGACAAATCCCCTCTTGTATATATTCATTTTACTTTCCGCAATTTTTCGTTCATAGCTTCTTATTTATGTTCGTAGCTTCTTGTTTTGAAAGTTTGCAATAAGCCTTTGGTTTTCTTAATGCCACGGTTCTTTCCAAAGGTGGAGTTTGTGTGAACCGGGTGGCTCTTCCCAATGATGGATGGCGTGACAACCTTCTTAAGGGTTTGAGTCTGTTTTTCTTTTTGTTTTTAGTAGTTAGCGGTTAAGGGTGCCTCAAGCAAAGCTTCACTTGGGTCTAGCACATTTATCTTTGATCTTATGGTCAAAAATATATTTTGTTTAGGATGGTGAAAGTCGTGACTTTGAGACTCTTGTGTTGACCGATAATCATCAAGTGGTTTTTTAGGACCATTGTGTTCTCAAATCTTATCTAAGGTCATTGTGGGCCCCCGACTCTGTGTCTTTAGCAATCCCATAGCATGTGTGGTGAGAAATTGCATTGCAAGTCCAAGTCCCGAGCCATTGGTCTAGAACTTGCCCTAAATGTTTGTTGAGGCGAAATCCTAAGTGAATTTTGACTTGAGACATGATTATAGACTCTCCTTGGTCCAAATGATAGCTTGAACACTTCCATAACCTACCAATGATAAGATCCCTAGTCAAACCTTTTGAGCCTTAGACCTTTTTCCTTCAAAGAACCATGATACAAACCTTTGTCCGTTTTAAAAGATACCCTCTCCTGGCACCTGATCTTTCCTTTAGCACATGGCAAAAGTATAAGTTTGGGGGGAGAGACGAGGACGACAACAAAGTGGTAAAAAGGTACAAAATGAAGAAAAGAAAAGGCAATGAAAAAAAAAAAGAATGCTCAAAGTAGAATTGAATAAAAAGGGATTCAAGAAAAGCAAAGAATGAAAGGTGTGGAAAGATGAGAAAGGAGAAAAGATTTGAAATGTATAAGAAAGAGTGACAGTATGTCTCTCTAACCCCTTAGAAAGAACTGAAAAGACTCAAAAGTCAAATGAATTTGAACCAAAATGAAACAAAAGAAGTGCTTAAGGGAAGATGGAACCTACTTAGACCAAATATTACCTACCCTAAACCAAAAGTCTTCGCTATGTCTCCATAAAAGCCCTATATGATCTTGAGTTGAATGAAACTTACATTAGTGGTGACTCACATAAGGGGCAAGCATATGATACTTAGAGCCAGACTCGTGACTTTTCCTTGAGAGAAATGAGTGATTTTCCATTAACCTCGTTCTGAGTGCCACTATTCTAAAGGTGAAGTTTGCTTAGGGAGAGTTGAGGATGTACGAGTTTGGGTTCCACAATAACCAAAGTAATAGAAAGAGTTATTTGATGTGTTGAGTCAACTCTTGATGCTCTTGTGTCGCACTTAATCCATGGTGTTTCAAAGAGTAAACGTTGTTAATGAGTCATTTGTATTGAGGGCAATTGTTAGTCCCAATTGATGCTAGATGAGGTTACTTTAGGACAACTAAATTTTTGGGATTTTCACTTGAGGGGTGAGTCTTATTTTGTTTGCTTGAGGACAAGCAAAAACTTAAGTTTGGGGGAGTTGATAACTAGGGATTTTGCTACATTATATAATCCTTCTAGCTTAAGTTTTGATTATAAATGTGTACAAAATAGTCCTAAAAGCTCACAAGTTGTGCTTGATTGCAGGTTTGATCCACAAGGTGACAAGATGTCAAAGATCAGCTCAAAAGGAGTGAAACTTGCACAAGTATCAAGACAAGACAAAGCAAGGCCAGTGCGGCCGCACACCATTCTGTGCGGTCCGCACAAGTGAGGTTCAGAGAGTATGATATTCAGGCAAAAAGGGCAATGCAGCCACACTAGGTTTTGTGCGCTCCGCACTGGGATCAATGCGACCGCACTCGATTTAGTGCGCTCCGCAGTAAGAAGGATCAGAGAGTTGTCAGTTCCGAGTTTCAAGCCAATGCGGTCCGCACTAGAAGCCTCCGCGGTCGCGCTCCATTTTGTGCGGTCCGCATTGCCTGAGTTCAGAGAGATGGATTTTTATGTCAAGAGCCTTAGTGCAGCCGCACGTGATTTTGTGCGGTCCGCACTAGCCCCACAAGGGTATTTTTGTCCAGATTTTTTAGCTTAGTATAAATAGCTTTTTTTCCCATTTTTAGGTTATCCGATAGTTTTAGCTAAGAGTTGCGCTCGTGGGTTCGGATATTTTAGCTATTTTGGGCAATTTTATCTACATTTCAACATTGAATCTTCTTGTTTATCTTAGTAATTAATTAATATGAGTTGTTCTTCATCTGTTTATTGCTTTTCTTCTTTAATTATGAGTAGCTAAACCCATAAGCTAGGGTTGTGGCTCAACCCTAGTGTGGGTAATTGATGGGTCTTGTATTTTAGGGCTAGATTGAATATAGATGTTTGATATTTGGGCTAATTTCATGTTTAATTGCTGAATTAGTGGTTGCAAACACTAGTTTGTGTTTAGTTGACTTGAGCTCTTCTTGAGAAATAGAGCTTGAGTCTCTGAAATTGGTAAAACAAGGAATTGGGGCGTACTCAAAAGATTGATAGCCCTAATTAAAGGGTTAAACCTCGAGAGTAATACCCGACTTGAACCTTGATTGCTTATGAAAATTTGCATACCCAATTGGTCTTGAGAAAGTCAATTCGGGCAAAATCACTTGAACTACCGAGAGGTGTAGAGTGGGTAAAATCGTGCAACAGTTATATCATACTCCCCAAATATGTCAATCATGCCTTAGACTCAAGTATCCGTCAATTGACCATCTAGGCGAAAGTCACTACCCTAGTGCCTTTTAAACCATTTGAACAACCCGCAACATTTTACTCTTAGCTTATTCTAGTTTAATTTACCATTGTAGTTTGATAAAAGTAGAAGTAAAACAAAAATCCAAAAATATTTAGAAGTGTAATTTGGAACACATACCCAACTCTAAATTAGATAGATACCCGACTCCAACATCTAGCTCTCTATGGAAATTGATCCCGACCCTAAATCGGATAAAAGCTGCTTCGACCCTCTCACGTTACTCAATAGTAGTGCAGGGTAGGTCTCAATCAGTTCACAACACTGCTTTTCTCCCTCTTCATTTCATTAGTCTGTATTTTGTACATTTCAGACTTTTCAACTGTATTTAGACCCTAGTAGATGCTCGTGACTTGTGACACCCCGGTATCGGGGCTATGTTTGGGCTGTATTCCGCACATTATACTATCTTTTGTTTAGTCTTTGGCTTATTTACTCATGCTTAGATTTATTATTAATATTTAACTGTTTAAAAATTGAATTGGGACTAGTTGGCTGGCCTTGTCTTCACGAGAAGTGCCATCACGATCGAGTCCGGGTTTAGGGTCGTGACACAAATATAGAATAAAATTACTATATACTATTTGACATTTATTAGCTTGCCACTTGGCTCAACCATAATGTCAATTATATATGGTAACTTTCTTGCTTTAATATAGATATTCGTATATATATATAGAATAATAGTAAGTTTGCATTCTGGGTTTGTCAGCATACCTATTATTGGGTTTAATTAAACCCTTTCTAACACCTTTATATAAAGAGGCAAATAAATTATTATAAACCAAGGAACAAAATACATAATTTGATTATGCAAAGCACAAGTTTCGTAAAACTCTTGAGAAATATTGTTTAAATCATCTTTGCTATAAGCATCAAAAAACCAAGTTTTAAACTGGCTCTTAACCATAATGTCAATTATATATGGTAACTTTCTTGCTCTAATATATATATAGATATTCATATATATATATATATAGAATAAAAATACCATATACTATTGACATTTATTAGCTTGTCACTTAGCTTAACCATAATGTCAATTATATATGGTAAATTTCTTGCTTTAATATATATATATAGAGAGAGAGAGATAGTATACAAAGTTTTTTACACTATTAATTAATTATAAGTTTTACCATACGTTAATTAGTACTTTTATTTGATTATTGATATCTTCTCAAGAAATTTACCTGTAATTATTAATTAATAATTTGTTTGTATAAATTTTAATTACACAGTTCCATGGAACATAGGGGTCGTCTGGTAGGGTGCATAAGAATAATGCTGAATATGATGTACTAGTAATGTTGGTATTAGTTATGCTTGCATTAGTTATGCTGATATTAGTTATGCTGACATATTTCTTATCCATTGTTTGGTTTGATGTATTAAAGCATTGCACAATTTCTAAAAGAATTGCTTGTTTACAAAAATACCCTCAAAACTAGTCCATCACTCAAACTTTTTAAAAGAAACATATGTTGAGAAATATTTTTATATGAAAAAGTTTAAAAAAATTATTTGATTTGTCGACCTGTATTGTAAAATAGAACTAAATATTTATTTATAAAAAAGGAAATATGCTAAGTATTTATTTATTTACTAGAGGTATAATTTTATTTCTCACTATTTAAATTATTTTAAACTTGCATTAATATAATAACTAGCATATTTTAATCAAGCATAAGTTTGAAGGATAATTTTGTCTTTAACTAAGCTAATACATGCATTAAAGCCCATTGCATTGTTAATACCATGGTTTTCTATGCATTAGTTATGCATATGATAATACCAAATAGAATGTATAACTAATACTTATATAACTAATACATATATCTATCAAATATCTATCAAACAAGATATTATTAATACTCAAAGCTAATGCAAACGTTATTTTATCGAATGCATCAAATCAAACGATCCCATTTCTTCAAAATAAGTGAGGAAAAAAACGAGAAAAGGGAAAAAAAGTGAAAATAAAATAAAATATCTAGTACTCCTGCTCTGTAATAATTAAGTCTGCTCTCACAAAGTGGTGGGTCAATCCCTATAAAAATCACCCGCTCTTTGACCCACACTACTCTTCTGCTTCTTCCACACATTAGGGTTTCGAAAACCCTTTCTCCTCCGCCTCTTTCCTTCTTCAACCGAATCTGAGCCCTAAAACAATGGCGGAAGAAGCACAGTACGCAGCAGCCGAAGCGGGTAACAACAAGAGGAAGTACGAGGATCAAACGACACCGCCGCCCGGCCCAAGGAGGCCCACTGGATTTTCTGCCCCGATCTCTTCCGTATCTCCTCCTGATGGTGCTCCTCCTCCTTCTTCTTACAATAGCGTGCCGCCGCCTATGGATGATTTTCAGTTGGCTAAGCAAAAGGCTCAGGAGATTGCTGCTCGGCTCTTAAATAGTGCTGAAGCTAAAAAGCCTAGAGTTGATAATAATGGTTCTGGTGCTGGTGCCGGTGGATTTGATTCATATGAACGTAAGGGTATACTTGTCTTTTTTACTGTTATTGATTTTGTGTTTGCCTAGTTTGTGCGTTTTGTAAGATGATTTTTGAAGTAACAGATAATTTCTCTTACTGAAATAGAAAAATTCAGTTTTCTACTGCTCATTGTACTGTTATCATACGTTCTTAGTACTGATGCGATTAGTTAGCAAGGTTAGTAGGGTTTTAGATGTAACCTCCTTGTTTAAGTGTATATCTTCAATATGATTATTGATTGTTGAACATCAACTCTGTTATCACTAGAGAATACATAGGGAGGAAATTTTTTTCTTACTTAAATTATTTTTCATTGAAAATATATAGGGGGAAAGGTAGTTTAGTGACTTTATTATAATAAAATAAAAATTGAGTGACCATCCATGAAATTACTGTTTTGCTCATTGTACTATTATCATTTCCCACTTTATACCCAACCAAACACCTGGACAACAAGATACTCCCTCTGGTCCAGTTTTATGTGAAGCTGACTTTAAGAAAGTTCCAAAGATTTTTGAAGCTTGTGATCTAAAACAAGTCTTAGGAATCTGTGTGGCTATAAATCATCCATTAAGGGTAAACGGGGAATTTTAAGGTTAGATTGTTTTAAATATAAAAATATGTCATTGTTTTCCTGGAAAACATATTTGTTCATACCAAAATAGTGTTTTTATTGGTTACCACTGATGTGATTAGTTTTGTAGGTAGTATGGCTTTTGCTTTAATCTACTGGTTTTAGGGTATAGTTTTAATATGTTTATTGATGATCATTTTGATAGTCTATTATAATATCTTGTAGAGTTGTTGGCTATAAACCATCTGAATGGTGAATTTTAAAGTTAGTTTGTTTTTAAATATAAAAACTTGTCATTCTTTTGGGGATAGACCGAAAAGGGAAAAGTATCACATAAATTGGTACAGAGGGGTATTTTTCATGGAAAACATATTTGTCCATACCAAAACAATGTTTTTATTGGCTACCACTGATGTGATTAGTTTTCTAGGTAGTACAGCTTGTGTTTTAACCTACTTGTTTTAGTGTATATTTTTATATGCTTAATGTTGATCATGTTGATAGAGTGTCAGGTCTATCATAAGATCTTGTAGAGTTGTTAGACGTTTTGTTTTTTCTTGCGAGTGCAGACAAGCCGATCGTTACTCCTTCGGTGACAAGTTCATATGGTTATCCGGGGCAAAGCAAGAAGATTGAAATACCAAATGGCAGAGTTGGTGTAATTATAGGCAAAGGTGGGGAGACTATCAAGTATCTTCAACTCCAGTCTGGAGCCAAGATTCAGGTTACTAGAGACATGGATGCTGATCCGAATTCTCCAAATAGAGCCGTTGAACTCATGGGTACTCCAGACCAAATAGCTAAAGCTGAGCAGTTAATTACTGAGGTTCTTTCTGAGGTAGTACTAATCTGTCTTACTATACATTGTCAAGTCTAGTAATTCTTTTTGTTGAATCATATCAAGTTTGCTTATGCTTTTGACTATTATATTTTCTGTCCTCGGTGTGTTACTTATGATTTATGTATTTGAAATAGGCCGATTCAGGTGGTTCTGGTCTAGTTAACCGGAGGTTACCTGGACAGCAATCTGGAGGAGAACAATTTTCGATGAAAGTCCCTAACAACAAGGTGAGTTTTAGTGTTGTAGTTCGTTCATCTTGCGGTCAGCTTTCTACTACTTGTCTCATGTCTATTTATATCTATTTTAGGTTGGTCTTGTTATTGGTAAAGGAGGTGAAACCATAAAAAATATGCAAGCAAGAACGGGAGCTCGTATTCAGGTAACTTTTAATAGCTTTCCCAAAATAGAGCTGCAGTTTTTGGTGGCAATAGTGTTTTTTGTTGTATGAAGAATTCCAGTCCTTTACTTTCTAAAACAACGACCCAGTAAAAACCTTTGCTTTCTAAAAAAAAGCATTTATTTATCGAGATTTTACTTTAGCTTTCTTACCTTTCCTACCTTGTCACAGGTGATTCCTTTGCACTTGCCTCCTGGTGATACCTCACAAGAGAGGACAGTACAAATTGATGGGTCAAGTGAACAGATTGAGGCTGCAAAGCAGCTGGTGTATGAAGTGATTAGTGAGGTATGTGTAACTGGATTGATATTCTTCAGTTTCTATTCTTTCCACTTATTATCGTGAGAATATGATAGGCAGATGACTTTGGCGTCGAGATGATACATAACCTCCTTTAAATGTTAGAAGTATTTATGTTTGTATATTATTTGGTGACGTATATCTGTAGTTTGTTAATGTGTATGTGGATTTTGCATTGTGGAAGACACTGCACTTGATTTCTTTAGTCTTCTAAGAGCTGCTTTTGTAGTTCTCTTGATCCCGAGTTTTTAAATTCCTCTATCAACATCTTGAAAAGGCAATATAATATTAATTTTCTCAGCAGTGGTGGATTTCCCGACACATCAAAATTACAGATTGCATTTGTTGCTAGAGAATCATGAATAACCAATTGAGTGATCCTAAATCCAAATTTATCGGGATGGTCATTATTTATGTCTAAAAGTTTCATGTATGTATATTGCTGTTTATTACCTATCCGTCCTTGTCTCGCTGGAAATTCATAGTGTTTGCAGATATCATTTTGCCAGTCTACTTTTTGGACTACAACTTCAGTTAGTGGGAATTGTAGTTCATTTCCAATGATCCCTGGACGAAGGAGATTGGCTCTTGCTGTGCTTCATTTTTGGAAGGAAGTACTCTTATTCCTAACTGGACATATGCTTTCTAGTTTCAAATAGGTCCTTGAGAGTATGTTACTCCACCCTGAAATATAACTCCATTATATTATGGATGAATAGTTTGTTATCCACAGAATATATCTGTAGTGTGACAGCACCTATCTGTGTCTCCATTTTTTCCCATTGGTTTATTCTAATTAGTTGGATGTTGCTTGAGCAAGAGAATGGGTTTCTATCCGAAGGCAATATCAGGTTTAAGATGGCATATCGAAAACTATAGTCATGCCTCAATGTCTATTGAATTATATATCGCTGGACTTTAGATGTTTGGCTTTTTTTTTTGAGGCGCAGGTTTTGGAGAAGTCTTTTTCCTTGAAGGTAACGAAGTCTGTAAAAATTTCCCTAATATTGAGCGTCTATTCTAATCTCAGCTGTGCAACAACTCTCGGTCTGAATTCTTAGTTAATTCAGGGGACACCATATAACTATGCTGGTTAATTTTATATCTGATCACTGATATTGTTATTGAAAAATTTGTAGGATTAGTAGTTATCGGACAATGGTGACACCACCATGAAACCATTTAGTGTTGGTGTTCCCTCAACATTGTTCTGGTATGGTCTCCAACCTGATTATTGATAACTTTAGTCATATTCTGGAGTAAATGAGAGGCTGCTTTTGCTAGGATGCAAGGGAGTAGACTAAGATATGTTGAGATTATCATTATATCTTCTGGTTGTGTAACTTGAGATATTTTATGAATTTACCACATAGAAGTGTTGCAAGAAACAGTATTCGGTGTTATTATCTATTGTTTATGTTGGTATTCAACCAGAGGACAACTTTATTGTGCCTTAGGATTTCTAGTGCTTTGCTTGGTTTCTTTTGAAGAAGAAAAATCCATCTATTGTGTAATTATTGATTAGCTGCTAGTATCTGATTTTGTTTGTTATCTCCATAAACCTTTGGCTAATTATTGGCTATGAAGATCAAACTCTCTGAGATTAGGAGTGCTGAAAGGACTATTAGTATATTAGATCATGTGTTCCTTGATTGCTAGCAGTACTATTAGATTCTGCTTTGTTGTCTTAGTAAGACATGTCTCATTGTTGAAAAATGAGTGAACTGTTGCCCTTCATGTATGATGAATCATGTAGGAATTTGTTTCCTGACGGTGTTATGAAATGACATCAATTGTCACTCTGTCTGGCTTTTTATGTTTTTGGTGTACACTTGTTTTCACCTTTCAGTATATATGTGAAGCCAATGCAAGGAGTGAGGGTTCGTCTTGGAACTGCAAGATTTGGTGCTGCTGCTGTGCAAAAACACATTTATTCTTTATTCTTGATATTGTAGTTCATGGCTTGTCTAATTTGTGTATCATTTTAGAACTTTAAAAGGTTCTCATTAAGGGTAACATGAATAGTTTAAAGTTGAATTATTTCCAATTGTAGAAATGCATCACTCTTTTTGGAATGGACTAATAAGGAAAGTGTGTCATCTAAATTGAAACGGAGGGAGTATTAAAATGGAGTTGGTATATAAATTTGGATACTCCTTGTCAATATAATATATAATTTGAATACTCTGCTGATGACATAATGAACAGACTCATCTTTTAGTATTGGCAAGTCACCCAGGCTTTTAATGCTATATTCTTCAAAAATAGTGGTATCTTGCCATCTTAAGAGTTATTTTGCCTACATATAGAATGTGTATACTTTTTTCTCTCTGCTTTGGTATCCTTCACTTCAAATAGGGTGAGGATGGGCATCTGCCAGGAGTTTGTACCTCCCAACCAGTAAGTCTACATCTGTCTTGATGCATACATAATATCAATTGTTAAATGTTGTGGTATTTGGTATTTGCTACTGTTTTATCTGCTATGTTTATGTTACCTGGCTGTGAGTTACCTACTTACGTTAATATGTGAATTATCTTTATATGCCAAGATCAATCATTTTTGGTTAATTTAGACAGTAATTCTTGTGCAGAATCGTGCTAGGAATCCAGGAATGGGTGGAGGATATCAACAAGGTTATCAGGCTCGACCTCCTACAAGCTGGGCCCCTCCTGGTGCCCCAATGCAGCAACCTGGCTATGGATATGTTCAGCCTGGCGCATACCCTGGTCCATCCCCCCAATATAACACATCTCAACAACCTTACCCTGGCTACCCTCCTCAACCTGCCTCTGCTGGATATGCCTCTGGCTGGGATCAGACTGCTGCCCAAAATCAACAATCTCAGGGAGTTGGTTATGATTACTACAACCAGCAGGCCCCACCACAGCAGCAACAAACTCCTGGAGGCACAGCTGCTTCAACTGATAATAGTGCCTATGGTTACAACCAGCAATCAGCCTCGGGTTACAGCCAAGGACAAGCTTATTCCCAAGATGGCTATGGTGGATATCATGCACCTGCACCTCAATCTGGTTATCAGGGCACTGGTTATGAGCAGCAACAGGGTTATAGCTCTGCAGCTGGTTATGGGAATGCCTCAAACCCAACATCAGATGGCCAGAATTCTTCATATGGTACACAAGGCGATGGGAGTCAAGCACCTCCACCAGTTCAGTCATCAGCCACGGGCCAACAAGGTAGTTACCCATCTCAGGGCTCTACTCAGGCAGGCTATGGGATGCCACCAACTTCTCAAGGTTGGTATGGGACACCGCCACCTGCAGGCTATGCTGCGAGCTATGGGGCCCCACAGACTCAAAAGCCTTCTCCTAGTCAGCCAGCTTATGGTCAGCCACAGCAGTCTCCTAGCGCGCAAGGTGGTTATGCCCAGCCTCCCCCAGCACAGCCTGGGTATCCACAACCAGCTGCTCAATCAGGCTATGCTCAGCCTGATTCTGGCACTCAGCGACCTCCTGCTTCTGGCTATGGTGCTCCAACAGCTCAGCCTGGTTATGGTGCCCCACCTTATGGGGCTCCACCTAGTTATGGCCAGCAGCAGCCACCACCTTACAACAGTGCCTATGCTGGTGGTTACGCCCAGCCTCCAGCGTATGCTTCTGATGGCACAACTCCTGTGTCCCAGTCTGTTCAGCCTAGTGGTGGGGTTGCAAAAGCATCACCTCAAAGTTAATGTGAGTCAACTTTGTGAGGTTGAGTGGATCTGTTAAAAGATATTTCATATTTTTGTTGCTTAGGTGTCTTTAGGTCTTGTAGTGTATCAAGGCACTGTTTTAAACCTTAGCTTTTGACCCGAATATCTGAGCTGCATATTGTTTTCCTTGTTATATTTGCAATTGGTTGGATTTTTTTCAATTAAAGTTCTTAGTGGTTGGAGTTTATCAGTTTATGTGTGCGCATGTTATTTGAGGCTCTTTTAACATGCTTAAATTCCTTTTAACGAGTACCAGCACACACGTCAAAAGCTTGGATGCGGTACATACATATAGTTCACTATTTTCTAAGTTACTGAGGATGAGGATCGAGTGTTTATGTTTCAATAGGTTCTCTCATTCAAGGAAAGATATGCTATTTTATAAGTTCCCAATGTGGATATACTTAAAAGATATAAATTATTAGAATGGCCTTGTTTGCTAAAAATGTGTAAGTATTTTCGAACGAAGTCTAGAAGTGTTGGTTTAAGCTTCTAGCAAAACCATTAATGGGACGAGAAGTTTTTCTTTCTTTTGTCTTTTAAGAGGCGGCCCGATGGTGTTGGTGGCCTAAAGCTAAACTATATTATGGCGCCTCTAAAACTTATTTGGTAAATTTAATGCAGTTAATGAGACACAACAATTTATTTTTTAATCTATGGATCAATCAAACATGACAAGAGATTGAGTTGAAAATAGAAAGTCGAGCATCATAAAACATAAAGAAATAAATATATGTAAGGATAAAAAATTAGAATTGAAGAATTAGGTAATATACTAACTAATGCGGAAAAAAATTATTGTTATTGGCTCACTCATCTATACAACTTCAACCAAACTAAAAAAATATTAAACTTTGAAATGTCTTTCTGATAATACTTATAAAAATTATATGTTATGTATAATAAATAGAGTATAATACTTTTTGGGGCCTGTAGTATTTGAGGGCCTAAGGTAATGACTTCCCCAGCCTTGCTCTTTCGCTTCCCATTTCTTAATATGATAATAGATTCGACATGTCAGCTTAAAATCTTTATAATTTTGTTTGAGGGTATTTCAAACCTTACCGTGCTTAACTGAGACGTGGCTTTTAACCTTGAAAATGAGTAGCCAGGGATCCAACTCCTCCACATTTCCTATTTTCTCCATTTCCCCAAGTTTTTACTTGGATGGATGACGCATGTACATGTTAAAATTAATGGTCAAAATTTAATTAATTAAAACAAGGTTTTAACCAAAGTTAGGAGCATAATTCTGTATGGGTCAAAATTTGACCACAAGATGGTTGTCCTTAAAAGGAACGATAAGGGGTCGACCAAGCCGTAGTCGTACCCACGAGGCGTAACAGCGGCGACCACCTCGGCCACTGTCGAGATCGAGCCGTCAGAGGGCCTACACAACGCATACGTCGTATTACTCGAGCAAGAAGAAAGAGTGTAGTCACGAAAGGGTCTGTTGGTTAGAGACCGATGGATAAAGGGGAAGGTTGATAATATATATATGAAAGGAGAAGGAAAGAGAGGAGGGGGGCCATTCAAGGAAAGAGAGGAGCAATGTGTGAAAGAGAAAAACAAGAAGAGACCCCTGACAACAAAACCAACAGCCCAGATTTTGGCTACAACTTCTTGTAATCACCATTACGGAATCAACAAAGATAGATCTCTTAGCTATCAACAACTTTCCCTCTTTTCCTTCTTTGTTCTTACGAGTATAGTACAAACATGTCAAAGATGTAAGCTTATCATTTACATTTGATGTCTGTTAACCATCTTAAGAAATATTATACAAGCTTGGTTTTGTTCCGATTTTCGTATCCAATGTGTTTGGATCTAGAGTTAATTATGTTTGGCTAAGATTTACCCTCCATTTCTCTATTAATTAGTTTAACTAAAAGGTTTAACACTTTTTTTGGTCAAACAATTTGGCGTTGTCTGTGGGAATTTCTTAGCCAAATTTTTTAGTTTCCTTTAGATCTAGAACCAACCAAATATCACTACCAGGTTGTCATGGCCTCACCATCTCGGCACAAACACCAACTCGAAAGAATGGTAGGGAAGCCTTCGAGATAATCGTACCAATCTAGGTCAGGTCTCTACATAAAATAGAAGTTATAACCGATGTCTATGCAAACCTCACGTCTCACCTGTAGCGATGGTTTTGGCACACCATATGCATGTTTCAAATAGAATCACGGTTGTCTAGCATGACCGCATCCCCATTTGACGTATCTACATTATATACCGACCCGTATTCCTACCACTTGGGAAGGGACGATAGCCTCCTATGTGATCCTTTGAAAGAGCGGGCACATCCTGTCCTATTTTCACATCCACACACACACTGGATGACTTATGAACGAAGTGTGACGTGTTTCCCTTGTTGTTTGTGCAAATTGGACGAGGTCGGACCGGGACTCGGTTTCGACACCTCAGCGAGCAAGATGAGTCCAACCCACCAGAAGCCTAGACGCGGTTAATGATGAAGCCGAACACGGCCACCAAATTCATTCAAGTGTTAGGCAAAGTGAGCGACTCCACAATGCCGTTCCTCCTTTTGGCGACATGCCAGGCCAAGGTAACAGACGATTTTGTTTGGTTTAACTTACCACGCTCTCTTGTTGGTTCAAAACGGGAAACGTACAACAATCTTCAATGAAAGCAAAATTAAGCAAACTAGGACTCACCCGGGAAACATACAATATTCTCCAATGAAAAGCAAAATTAAGTAAACTGGGACTCACCCAGGAAACGTCCAGTATTCTCCAGTAAAAATAAAGCCGAGCACACTGGGGCTTACCCCGACACACGCATAAACAGTACGACGACATGTAGTGTTCTCCAAAATAATAATAATGATACAGCGGGTTACTATTTTGACCTTACTCGAAATAACAGCCCTACGGCCATCGCCAAAAGAGAATTTCAACCTCGTTCAAATTACAACGTATTACTATTCCGACCTTGCTCGAAATAACACCCCCTACGGCCAACGACCATCGCCAAAAGAGAATTTCGACCTCGCTCGAATTACAACGGGTTACTATTTCGACCTTGCTCGAAATAACACCCCTATGACCAACGGTCATCGCCAAAAGAGAAGTTCGACGTCGCTCGAATTATAACGGGTTACTATTTCAACCTTTTTTGAAATAACACCCATACGGCCAACGACCATAGCCAGAAGAGAAGTTCGACCTCGCTCGAATTACAACGGGTTACTATTTCGACCTTGCTCGAAATAACACCCCTACGGCCAACGGCCATCGCCAAAACTTCTCTCGAATTATAACGGGTTATAATTACGACCTTGCTCGAAATAATACCTTTACAGCCACCGGGCGCCGTCAAATAAAAGAAAAGTTCGAACTCGTTCAAATATAAGTCAGAAGTTGACTTTCCCCAAAACGACAATTCTAAGGTCGAACTCGTTCAAATATAAGTCAGAAGTTGACTTTGCCCAAGATGGAGAATCTCAATTCGACCTCGTTTGAATCAAGACTGATTTCGCCTGAACTGACTAGCCAGAAGTCGATCTCGTCCGAATTGGCAAATCCAAAATGACTTCATTCGGACTCATACGATGGGATCCTACCCGATCGTCGCTAGGTCGATTTCCCAATTAAAAAGATCAGGGACTCATCACAAAGAAATTCAAAGGTCTACGCCAAAAAGAGAAATATAACAAATGGGAGGGATCAGAAAAGAAAATCAAATAGTACACAAACAAAGTCAAAGCAACTGTTTTATATAAATACACGTGGGAAACAACCGCACCTTACAAAAGGCCGAAACATGCCCAAAAAAAAAGAAGAAACAACAAAACAAACAAAAAAAAACTATGAAAGCTGCAACAACTTTTCACTCGGCGTCATCACCGTCGTTCTCCCCATCATTGTCTTCAGGAAACCCATCCTCATTAGCATCCTCGCCAACCTCCGGTGTCGCAGGGTCGTAGCCGCAATTGACATGAGCCTCGTGTGCCTTCTCTCGAACTACTTCAAAGGCAGCCTCAGAAACACTGCCCGCCTCCTACAAACTCTTGTATATATCTCGTTGGGCCTCGGCATGGACCCACAGCTCGTATAAGTGGCGAGGAATAGCGGCTGAGGCGGATTCAACCTGAGCCAACAATTGCGCCTTCTCGTCCTCGAGCGCCACGACCCGGTCTCCTAGGCTCGAAACCTCTCAGTCAATTTCACCAATACGCTCCTCGAGCCGCGCCTCCCTCAACATGGCCGTTATCCTCTTAGATTCTTACTCAGATTGGAGGACGCATATAGTGTCCTCTAACACCGCCGCTCTCGCCAAAGCCAACGTCCAAGCATTCTCGGTATTTTCCATCTCGGCCACATTCCTCTCCAGCTCGGTCAAAATTCCCCATCCATTCTGCACTCAAAGTCTCAAAGCTTCGACTCTGGTGGCATTGTGCTCAAGTTCGGCTTGCAACGACAACACCTTCCCTTGAAGATGCTCGCACTCCACAACAACCCCCTTTCCCAACCAAGCTCTTCGTCCTTGGCACGGAGCAGTTCCTCAAACTCACTGCATTAGCGGATGGACTGCATCAGCTCCTGATACCTTTTCTCCAACTCCTCCCCAATGGATTGGGTGCCAGTACCCGCCCTGAGCCGCTCGTGCATCTCACGACATTTGTTGCGATACCACCGATACTTTTCGAGCATCTTCAGAAAAATCTTGGCCCGAGTCTCGGCCCTACGAGCACTCTCGATCTCCAGCATGTAAGACTAAAAACAAAAAGAAGAAAAGAGTTGATAAAGACCAAGGTCACAAAAAAAAAAGAGAAAAAGAAAAACAAACAATGAAGAGGAACTTACCGTTAGGCCCATCTCGACCACACCACGTGACAATTCGGTGTCGCTGACATCCTGAAGAGCTTCGATTTCTGCGATAGAGCATAGAAGGTCAAACTGCAGCACAAAATCCACCGTGTCTCGTAGAAGGTTGAGATCCGACGGAATTTCGAGTATTCGGGAAGGACCTCCCGCTCTTACTACAGTTCGGGTAAAGCCCTCCTCGAACATCCTAACGTCATCAGGATCGATGTCGGATTCAGACTCGTAATCATCAACCATGATGCCTTTTCCCCTCTCTTCGGATGAAGAAGAAGTGCGGTTCGGCCGGGATGTCTAAGGGCCGCCCAAGACAACAACGACAACCTTAGGACTCCGTCTC